CTTGGGTTGCATATAAAATATGTAATAATGTTAACACATATAAGTAACAAAACTTTTTAATATATGCAAATTTACTAAAATATAAAAGAGAGCAACAAAAACATGAAACAAGTGAGATATTTGACCTTGTACTATGAGCTATGCTGGGCCATCAGTTGGAATACCTTGCAATACCTTTCATTGTCAGTGCTCTGATGTGTAAGAAACTTTTGTTTTGTAGCTAGCTACTGTATTTTTAATTTATAATCTCTCTTTGCTTGCACAGGAGCCATTTTGGCTGTTCATTTCACAACGGAAAGTGTCAGGAGGAGTGTTGGTAGTTGGTAGGCTTTGAGATGAGGACGAAGGATGGTGGGACTGTGTTCAGAACTGTATTCTTGCTTCCATAGCAAAAGAGAACCACAATGCACTTTCTAGCTGCATGCCAACTTCACCAGGCTCTTAAACTGAGTAAAACTACTTTGGGAGCAGTGCAGTTTCCTGTATTGGGTAAATATCTTAACAGAATGGTTCCCTTCTTCGGGGATTCCCAAGACCTCTCTTTCCACTTCCTCTGTCAGCGATCATATGGGAAGTTAGTGTGGCAAGGAGGGGAAAAATTGGTCAGGAAAAGGGGGAAGAATTCTGTGCCCAACCGTTACAAATGAAACTGTTTGATCCTCAGAGAACACTTGAAGGAAATTTTGTTGTGTTAGAGAATAAGGAGAGACAGCCTCTGTGCTCTGGCACAGGGTAGCCTGGGTTTTCCTGAGTCGTGTTTCTATTCACTGTGCTTCCTGACTCCTTTTCATCCATACTGGAGCAATTATCACATTTGATCTTGTTCATAAGTGAGATGCAAAGAATGTGGCTGGCAGAAAATCTGACCCCTTCTTTGTTCTGGAAAAATGAGCTGGAGGGTGTAAATGTGCCGAGTGTCAAGGCAGGCAAATGATGAGAGCCGAAGGACTTCTCACAGTTCTCACTTTGTCAGGTTGCATTAGGCCCTTTCAAGGAAACTAAAGCAAATCTAAGAGGCTGTATAATCTTGTAATTGAAATAGAAAATCAGGGACCCCTCCCAAAAAAAAAAGATCCACTCTGTGGACATATAGAGAAGAAAAACTATTTTAGGTGTGATCTGTGATCTGTATAAATGCCTTATCTGAGACCCCATCATGACTAAGATGTAAAGTATAATGCTGAAAACAAGTAGTGGAATAAAAGTGCAGTGTGAAAGTTGCTCCACTTGAGGTAGTGGCAAAAGAAAATAGTTTAAGTATGGCAAGAGATGAAAGAAAGGTGCTGTAACCCAAATAGTTGCTTGGGTATTGCTAACCAATAGTGGCTGTCTGGGGTGGTGTTCAGCTCATGAAACTGGAAGCCAGATGGACAGCATTTTTCATAAGCTTGTCAAAGCAGAGGACAGCAATTTTACTGCAGAATATGAAGTCCAGTGTCTGCTAAGGAAATCAAAGGTCTGGCCTTGATTGTATGCAGGATCTTGCAAGAGAACAGAAAAATTAAAAGATAGGGTGCTGACACATGGGATAAAATATAAAACAGATTCACCGAAAGTAGATGAAACCTGGCTAATCAGATCTCTTGCTGTTTGATAGCTTTTTTTTTTTTTTTTTTTCCAGTTGCAGGCAGTCCAGTGAAATTGGCCTTCAGGAAAGCAATTATCAGTGTCAAGCAGAAAATGAACAGTCAGAAGGCTGAAGCAGGGATTAATGGCAGAACTGGAAAGTGTGGGGAGTGGGCTGTGGAGGAGTTAGCAGAGAGAGGAAACCTCATTCTGGGGGCTTTTCTTGAAATGTTTTTATTAAGCTGGAAAGGAAAGGAGTACATGGGGTTATACTCACTGCTGGGAATCTGGAGGCTTCGATAGCATGGGGTACTAAGAGTACTTGAATGTTCTGATAAGTAACAAATAGGATCAACTTCAGTGGGACAAGGGAGTCCAGCAAGAGGAAATTCTGCACTGGGCTGGGAATAAGAGAGGGAAAGAAAGGGCACTGTCAATTAGCTGGTTTTAGAATAATTATCTGTGTGATGCACATAAAAAAAAGGAAGAAAGAGACAAGCAGGATGTACTGGCAAAGGCATTTCCAGCAAATATAGGGAATTTTCACCATCATGGATATCACAGAACGGCTTGGGTTGGAAGCGACCAACCCATCATGATGGGTGACATTGTACAAAGCACTAGTAAGCTTTTCACTGACCTTCTGTATATGCTCAAGGATTAATTCATGCTGAGAAGAAACAAGGAAAGCACTGAAATCAGGAATAATGCACTCTGCTTTGTGTGTGTAAGCACACATATATGTATGCACATACGCTCGTATATTTGCACATGTGTAAACTAGAAATCAGGAACTGCAACTGCTGATCTTAAAACAGAAAACATGCAATGCTTTTAGAATTGCATTATTTGTAAATGGTGTAAAGCAAAGAATATGCAGGTAAGACTTAAAAATAAAGGTTAACACTCGGATAATTGGCTTGATCTCATCACAGCTGTTGCTGCAGTTTAACTAAGCTCTGTGACTTTGTTGGGTAGAAATGGCCTCAACACGAACTCCTTCTGGGCTGAGCATCGAAGCATTTCTGACCCCAGAAACCCGAGTGGGGACAGCTCTGTGCTTAAGATGTGCCATCAGTCCTAGGGTCTTCAAACTGTGGTAGGCATAAACTATTCCCAAATTGTATGCACCACCAAACCTCAAGAAATCCACCATCAAAGCCAGTCCCATCTGCCTTTCCTCTGGAGGGGACGAGCAGGAGCCAGCCAGATCCTTTCTGCATGCAGAGCTTGGAGCTCAAGGATGGGGCACAAAGACTGGGGAAAAATGCAGCTGAGAAATGCAGCTTCTGAATGGAGAGCAGGGTTTGGCCAGTCCTTCAGGGGCTGTCACACGAAGCAAGCAGGACTGGGCATGCTGCATGCAGCCCTGCTGGTGGAGGAACCAGTCCTTCCCCATTCAGTGCAGCCAGGCCTGAAGTTCATTATAGGAATAACTTAAAATAGCAGTTGGGAGTTAAATCGCCGTGACCCAAAGGAATGGGTCAAGGTCTCATTGGAGGTTTATTGCTCTCAGCATGGCACAGGATAAGTATGGAGGGTTTGTGGCTATGGTACATGCATTTTGGGGGGGCTGAAAGTGTGGTTCTATTGCTATTGCTGTTAATATGATATTGGAAGGAAAGATAATTTGCATATGCTCTTGGAAATATTGACTGAGTCTGCTCTTCCTGCTGAAATACTGCTGTTAATGTTTGATAGCAGCTGCCCAACACCAGAAGCCTTTGAGCTGTTTATTGCTCTTGAGAGGTGTTTATATTTATTTATTATGTGTTTGTTGTTGTTTTGTTGTTGCTTCGCTACATACCTAAACCTAGCTGAGAGTTTCTGGAGCCTGGTGCAAACGATTAGAGCTCTGTTCAAAAGCGTTGTTGGCTTTAAATAGTCTTTTCAGATGTCACCATTTCTCCTTTCAAGCAAAAGCCCTACTGATGAGGCACAGCGCTGTGTGCTCCAAGGAGTGGTTGTGTGGTTACTCCACAGTGAGGATTAGTCACACATTAACCGCAGCTGTAAAAACATGTCTATGGGAAAATCACATCCAAACATGGAGGGCCTTTCAGTCAGCCGCTTATTACCGAACGAGGTGAGTTTCTGTATCATTTTTCCTCAGCGTTGTGCAACATACATCAGAGCTGTTTACTCTGCTATCCTGATGCATCATAGCTTTTCCTCTGGAGCTCTACCTTCCTCACTTCCACACGCTGCGGTCTGCTGAGGTCCTACAGGTGGAGCTGACTCAGCCAACGTTTCTAAGCCAGGAGGTCTGGGGTGGGCACTCACAGTTGAAGTGCTTGGTTAGTCACCCTGTTGCATTGCTACCTAAGGCAAAGCAGGTGGTGACAAATGATGACTTAGGGTTCTGTGGTTGTAACGAATTTAGGCCTGAGGAGCAAGTTCACCCTTTCTCATAACCAAGATGGCATCTGAAGCCTGAAGCATCTCTTATTCTTCACTCAATAGAAAATTATCACCCATTTCTGTTGTCCTTGCTCTCCAGACCTTCCCAGAGCTAGTAAAGCAGAAGAGCTCAGAGTGGAAAGAGAAAGAGGACTGCATCCCCCCCAGGACCTTGTGACTTGTCGTGGCCATTCTGTGCATCAAGCACTTGTCCCTGCTACAAGTACTGCAGTCTGTGCTCCAGGGCTTCCAGCAGAGGATCCCAGATTTTTATTAACCAACCATGGATTATGTTATCCCCCGTTGCTGCTGAATTTCCTTCGAAGAAAAACAGATCTTAATGGGAATTTTCCTTGTGTGGGGGGAGGGCAGAGCTGATGCGAGATACACAAATAGGAACGCTTTCTCCAAAGTTGCTTTGGGCAAAGAAAGAAAAGCAGGGCTCATGAAGAGCGTGTAATTACCATGTCCTCTGCCCCACCCTTACCTTCTCAAGAGAAAATTCTCTCTTCATACATTAGCTTGGCTTCTGAATTTACTGGTTTGCTCCAGGCCCATATCACATGGCCCACTGCAAGTCAGCAACCAACAAAGCCTCTTTCATACAAACGAGCAAGACTCCTTAAGACTCAAGCTGCTTGTTGACTATGCCAGGGATAACTGACCTTGCTAAAAAGGTTGAGCAGTTCGCTGGTGTTTCTGGAATTGAAGTCCTTGTAAATGGGGACTGAACATGGGAATCCTCAGGCAGCTTTCATGGCCACTTGCTGAGGCCATGTCCTCACTCTGTCTCCTTCCTCAGTGAAAAAATTTGGGCTGAGATTTGTTGTTTGCTGGGTCTGTGCCCCCCTGGACCCATGTAAGGAGAAGAGGAAAGAGGTCAGAAAGAGCAGAGGCTGGAGGCTCCAAGAGTCTGTTGTCAAGGTCTGTCTGCCCTTGAGGACATCAACAGCTCCTCCCAATTTAGTGTCATCTACAAACTTGCACAGTACACCTTCAGATCCTATATCCAAGTCAGTGGTGAAAACATGATGAAAAAGATTTAAAACGTTTTTTATTAAAGCATTTTTAAAAAGAGCAACAAAACCATTTAACTAGTGGGATATGTGACCTTGTTTTAGTGAAACTAACGCATCAGTCTGGTTTGATGGCAGTGGGTGCAGTTCTCAGTGAGCTCTCATGGTGCTTATCAGAGATTTTTGATGAAATCTTACTCTTCTTGTACTTCATCCTTGAAAACAGTTGCTCACAAATGTACATACTGCCAAAAAAAATGATGACATGAATAATGATTGTGAAATGTGAGATATCTTTATCTGGTAAGAGAGGGCTTATAAAAATCTGGTAAAGAGACATGGTCACACTTTTCTTTGCATTGAATATCTGATTGCAGCTCTATATATTCCATTTGAAAAATCGCAGGTAAGGTATTTATAGTGACTGAAAATGGAGTTGCAAATTTACAAAAAAATTGATTTTTCTGACACTCTTGAAACCTGTTATAAAAATTCCTTTATCAAAACAAAAAGCACAACTGCATGTTTTTCAGTCTTTGCAGGACAGTGTTCAGGCAGTGTATCAAAATGCATATAATTATTTGCCACCACTTTGGTTGGCACTACACTGCGATGTCACCTGTTTCCAGCCTACACAGCACTGACAGCACACTGCTGTGTGGTTGCTGTGAGTGATGGGTGTGATGGTTGCACACGCAGGGCCAGGCAGGGCAGCTCAGTGCTGCCATGATGGTGCACAACAGGGGTTGGCAGCAAAACATGCTGGGTTGGGTTGCAAGCAGCCTGCGGGTTGGACATGGCTACTCCAGGGCTTTCACAGTCCAGTCTTAAGGAGTTCCCTTGCCCTGTGGCACTGCTAGTTCTTCTGGATGGAAGGGTAGGGACCAGAATCACCACCTTGTGTACCCTGTGAGTTCTTGCATGTGGGGGACTGGGGGGGTTGGCTCCAGTGGGATTTGGAGGCTGTGGCAGACCTGGAAGCAGCACACGGGCCAGCTCCCTACAGGCAACAGGAGCCAGCATCTCAGGTGCCTGTGGCTGCTGTCAACCTGGATCTATCCCTTCCTGTCCCTGACCTCACTGTGGTGACCCCGTCTGAGTACCCACATGGCCGTGCAGGTCTCTGGCTGCAGGGAGTGCCCGAGCCTGGCACAAGTGTGGGGGGTAACGGGGATAGGTCCTTCTTTGGAAGTGAAGCAGGGGTTTTGAAGAAGACAATTACCACAGCTAGGAGAGGTGGTGCCCACAGAAGCATCTCTCTGCCGTTCGCAGGTCGCTGCCTGTCCTACAGCAGCAAGCAGAATGGGTGCTGGGGCCTCTATCTTCTTAGTCCCACTGTGGACACCCAGCCTCATTGCTTTCTGCCCTTTGCTGCCCTGCAGGACTGCCACAGCTCCCAGCCCATGCTGAAAGCCTCTGGGAATGTCAGGCTCAGGTTCCTGCCCTCAGGGATCAGATCCCTGAGAGATCACAGCCACTGTGTTCTCTCCATAGAAGATGGCTGAGTAGTGAGAAGAGGAGCTGCAGCTGCTGCTCCTGCACAGGAAAGAGGAGACGAACACCTGTGACATTGCTTCCAGAGAGAGATTTCTTGGGAGAGCTCCTGCTCCCTGGAAGGGTGTGACAGGATCTGCTGCTTACTGACTGTGTGTCCTGGTGGGCTCCCTCCTGCAATTACAGGGGTTCTGTGGGTTGATGTCCTCAGCCAAAGGAGCTCCTCTGGCTGCTGGTCTGCAGGAGCATTTTTCAGGCTTGCTGCCTCTTGTCCCTGTCCTCATGGGGGGATTCTTCTCTCACTGTCTCTTTTCTTGCACCTGGGGCTGCAGATTAATGGGATTCCATTTGGTGGGAGGTGACTGGAGGGGGCTGCTGTGCTCCAAGAGGGGGCAATTTTACTTACTGCATCCTCGCATGCTGTGAAGACGTGTGGAAGTCCCAAACCGTTGGCAAAGGAGACAGAGCGAGTGGATGTGGAGCACCTCTAGAATCTTCCCGGTTACCTCCGTGTTGGCACTTCCTCTGTCTCTCTTCCTGTATGGGCACAGAAAGCAGCAAGTGAGAGGGGAGCATCCCCAGCAGCCTCAGCGGCACCCCCCAACCCAGGGCACAGCCAGGCCCAGCCCCGTGCCTGCCCCGGGACTCCCAGCCGAGCCTGGCCAGCCCCGCTGGGACACGGCCTCTCCTCCCAGGCAGGGCCCCAGCCCAGCCCTGCGGATGGCCCTGACCCCTCTGACCCCCCTCCCTGTGCTGCAGCGCCTGGCTCAGCACCAGCCCTGACTCCTACCTTCCAGTTCCACAAGGCTGTCATGAATGCAAACAATGCTATGTTCAGCATGATCCGGAGGATGGGATAGAAGATATCGTCATCCTCCAGGCTGAGAAAGAAGCTCATTCCCCAGAAATCAGCCATGTTTGTCACATATAAAGAGAGCCAAGTGGAGCTTGAGGACAAACAGCTGGACACAGACATACCTCTTGTTCAGAACTCAAAAAAAATAATCTGTGGCATTACAGATCCAAGAATCCAATTTTGTAATGCTGAAAGGACACCATGAAAGTCATTGACGATGTTTTAACTTGAAAAGCAAAAATGATGAGATGTCTCTGCTTAAATAAACACTACTTGCTGCACTCTCAGCAAGTTCTGCTGATGATATAAACTGGGAGGAGCGGCTAAGACACTGTGGGGTTGTGCTGCCAGCGAGGACAGGCTGGAGATTTGGAGGGGCAGGAACTTTTAGAAGTTCAACAAGGGAACTGTGAAGTCCTTTACCTGTGGAAAAACAACCCCATGCACCGATGTACGCTGGAAGCTGCCTGGCTAGAAAAATTTGCTAGCACGTTAAGCTTGATTTTGTCATTTTCCTCTTCCAAAACTCTCCTTAGGGTTAACCTCATCAAGCTGCTGACTAATTTAGGAAGAAGAACTCTTGATCTGAACTTCACTTTGGCACTGCTTATCTCTGTTCTTCAGCTGTTCCAGCTCTTTGCTTAGCTGGATGTTCAGAGGTAGTGCAATTATTGAAGAACTAATAGATGCCTAACTGATGTATCTACACGGTGGTACTTGGGCTTTGCATGAGCAACCTAACTGAGCTGATAGTGTACAAAAATGGAATAGAATTTATTTCATTCTGCTTTTGCTGTATTGGTTTGATAAGACTTAATGTTTTCAATAACCAAAAAATTTTCCTAACAGTGAATATACACTGAACATACCTGTTAAGCAAAAGAGTGCAGTTTATTGTACAATTATTCTTCAGAATCATACCATATTTGATCCAATTTTCTGCAGGAATTTGTAAGTCTTCCTCTGGTAGCAAGAAAGATCAGACATATGTTTAAGCAAAAAGGTTAAAATGGGGGTTCTTGTTACATAAAACATCTTCTTTGTTTTCAAATCTGCTGTTTTCATTTTGTACATCCATTTCTTTCTAGTGTCCTCTTACTACTTCCATCTCTTGCCCTATTCTTCGTAGATCATTTTTACCCCGTTTTTTGAGGATAAATGTTCAGCCCTTGGTACAAAACACTTGGGCTGTTAAAAGACTGAGCACACCATGCAAACATCTGGAAATCTTGGCAGCAAGGCATTGTTTTGAATAGCCAACTAGTTGGCCAAGTCCTTGACAGGGGATTGCTTGGAGAATGTCCTTGAAGATTTCTTGGAAAAAAACTGAGATCTAGAGGGTGAAAATGGGAGAAATGTCATTTCAAAAGAAGAAGTACGCATGCGTACATGTAGACGTGCATGTCTATGAGTGCACGTATGTCAGTGTGCAACAGCTCCAGTGTTCTGCTCTGCAGATGCATTTCAGATGTCAAGGCGCCTTTTGCCATGGCACTGTTCAGTTTTGCATCAAGAAGTGAAATTCTGAGCCAAAGCACTTTGTCCAGTCTTGAAAACCTTCAAGCTGGAAGGGATATTGCTATATTAGGAGAAATTTAAAAAAGAAGAAAAGATGTCTAAGGTAGAGACCAAAGTTTTGAGTGACTTAGAAAGATCAGAGGAATTAAAGTTGTACAAAAGTCATTTCAAAACAGACTGTCTGCTTGCCCAAAGCTGTCTGAAAACTCTGGAACTTTACCAACGCTTTCAAATCAAGGCTGTACCCCTGATATCCAGAGGAATTCTCCTGCTCTACACACATCTGAAGAGAGCAAGGAACATAGCCTTCCAAAGACTCCTGTGGGTGTTTCATGCAGATAAAGTTCTCAAACTGACATTCCCAAAGTTGTGTTAAGCAGTCTTACTCTAAGAGTCTTACTCTGAGTCCATTGATGATAACTTTCTGGTTCAAATACTGAACTGACTGACCAGAGGTGAAGTGCTGCTGGACCTGGTGCTCACCAATGTGGAGGAGATCGTTAAGGATATAAAGATTGGAGGCAGCCTGGGCTGCAGCAACAGTGCCCTGCTTGAGTTTGTGATCTCAAGGAACGTGAGCCTGGCGAAGAGTAGATTCAGGAACCTGAATTTCAGGAGAGCAAACTTCAGGTTAAGGAATTGTTGCTTCTTCCTGGGAAGAAGTCCTTAGAGGAGGAGTGGAACAAAGCTGGTTACTCTTTAAGGATGCTTTTATGAGAATGCAAGAGTTCTCCATCCCTCAGAATAAGAAAGCAGGAAGGAAAAGGGCAATCTGATCTAGCATGGGCTGGCAAGGGCCTGCTGGTCAAACTGAGGGAAAAGAAGGGCAGGTACAGGTAGTGGAAGCAAGGACATGCCATCTCCAAAGAATACAGGGGAGATAGGATTAGGAAAGCCAAGGCACAGATGAAGGGGAACTTGGTGAAGGATGTTAAATCAACAAGAAGGTATGGAAGACACAGGCCAAAGAGTGTATCTCCTCTCCTAAATGAGAAAAGAGAATTGGCTGCAACAGATATGGAGAAGGCTGAGGTACTCGATGAGTTCTTTGCCTCAGTCTTCACTGGCAGCCAGGATTCTCACATCTCTGAACCTGAACTTCTGGTTGGGAACTGGGGGAGCAAAATCCTCCACCACTGTAAGGGTGGAGCAAATTTGACATCAATTCATGAGATTGAATGTGTATGAGTCCATGGGGCTGGATGATGTGTGAATCCAGGGTCCTAAGGGAGCTGGCTGATGTGACTGCTGAGCTGCTCTCCATCCTATTTGAAGAGTCATGGCTGTCAGGCAAAGTCCAGGGGACTGAAAAAATCACTCCCACTTTCAGGAAAGGGAGGAAAGAGGACCTGAGGAACTACAGGCCAGTGAGCCTCACCTCTGTGTCTGAGATCACAGACAGATCTCACAGATCACGGAACAGATCCTCCTGGAAAACATATTAAGGCACATGAGGGATGAGCAGTGATCTGAGACAGCCAGCATAGCTTTACCAAGAGAAGTTCATGCCTGACCAATCTGGTGGCCTTCTGTGATGGAGTGACAGCATCAGTGGACAAAGGGAAGGCAACTGATGTCATCTATGTGGACTTCTGCAAGGCCTTTTGACATGATCCCCCACCACATCCTTATCTCTAAATTGGGAAGATACGGATTTGAAGGGTGAACTATTCAGTGGATGAGGAATTGGTTGGAAGTTCACAGTCAGGATTGTGGTCAGTGGCTCTGTGTCCAGGTGGAAGCTAGTAATAAGCTCTGTCCCCCAGGAGTCTGTCTTGGGACTGGTACTCTTTAACATCTTATCAGTGACACAGGTGATGAGACTGCGAGCACCTTCAGCAAGTTTGCTAGTGACACCAAGCTGAGCAATGAGGTTGATATAGCAGAAGGAAGGGGTGCCATCCAGAGGGACCTTGATAAACTTGAAAGGTGGGCCCTTGTGAACTTGATGGTTCACACTGCCATGGAGGTGTTCAGGGCCAGGCTGGATGGGGTTCTGGACAATCAGATCTAGTATTTGATCTATGGTTGGCAACCCCACCTGGGGTGTGGGGGGAGGAACTTGATGATCCCTGAGGTCCCCTCCAACCCAAGCCATTCTATGATTCTATGATTATTACAATGAGTTGTTTCTATTCATTAATGGTATTTCCTTTTGGCTTGGCAAGCCTGACTGCTGCTTTAGCTCTGGTGACAGTGCACCAGAACTGTATCTCACTAGTAAATACAGAACAGCTAAAAGTGCCTTGCATTTAAGAGATATCTTAATGTATTCTTCATTCACGTGAGAAAACTCCCTTTATCACTGTAGTAATAACTGTTGGATAGACTGACCAGATTAAAAGAACCAAATAAGTTCTGCTGACTTCACAGGTTGAAAGGGTTTCATTCAACTCACAAAATTTGGCTAAACAAAATAATCATGTAGTTTGGTTAGAAATGCTTAGCAGGAGACAGATAATGTGTGACCTGGTTAATACAACAAATAATTAGACATCTTGTCACCTGAGTGCCTTCAATTAGACAAAGCAGCACAACTAAGAACGTTTACCAGCTCTCTACTATCCACAGGGATACCACCTCTGCACATATCATCCTCTTCTTAACTTACTGCACAAAGTAGTGGAGTTTGGAGGAAGAGGTTCTGCCTGTTGTTTTGCCCTGGGCCATCTTACTCCCCTAAAACAAGGTTGCTTTCATGTACTCAGCAGCTGTTTTGAGCAGCGAGTCCAATGGATGGTGAAATATTAACCATCTGCCTGCTGTCCCCTGTATTAACAAAGTTGGATCAGTGATTAACCCTTCAGCCTGATATTTGAAGCCTTGGGTTTTACATTCCGAGGGTGGGGCCCAGCCATGCTCGAGTGAGAGCTGTGAGGCTGATCCCTGATGTTCAATCACCACACAACTGTCACAGCTGGTGGCAAGCTCCCAGAAAGTGGAAATAGAAGAGCTGCGTGATTTCATGAGAAGTATCATAAATCAGTGAGATTATCCTTTGTACATTGGATACTGCATTTTGCTGGTGCTTTAAACGTCTAGAAGTGCATGGCCCTGTTTTCTCTTGGAGGAACTTCAAGCATGACTGAGTTGACTTTCAGGCCCTTCAGAAATTCCTCGTAAAGAGGAATTCACAGAACAGATTGCTGCAGTCCTGTCCCTT